CTGGCTGCCCAGGGCTCGCACTGCCTGAGCCCCACCGTGCCCCAAGCCTGTGCCCCATGTTCTCTGGGCCCCACCTCCTCCTCAAATCCTCCCATTCTTCAAAGCCTAGTTCAAACCCTGCCACCTCCAGAAGGGCAGAGAGCTGGGCTGTCTGGGCTCTGCCTGCTCCAGAGCCCCGTCCAGAACTCAGCACAGAGCAGCTGGCAGGGGCGCCTTGGGGACATTTTGCTGGAACACGAGAGGAGGCCAAAGCTGGGACGCTTGTCAGACTCTAGCCCAGTGATGGCGAACCTTTTGAGCTCGGCGTATCAGCATTTTGAAAAACCCTAACTTAACTCTGGTGCCGTGTCACATACAGAAATTTTTTGATATTTGCAACCATAGTAAAACAAAGACTTATGTTTTTGATATTTATTTTATATACTTAAATGCCATTTCACAAAGAAAAATCAACCAAAAAAATGAGTTTGCGTGTCACCTCTGACACGGTGTCATAGGTTCGCCATCACTGCTCTAGGCAGAGGTAATTATGAAGGAAGGGACTGCGCTCGGAGTTCACCCCCGAGATACAGGACCCTGGCATCTTCAGCTTGGAAATCCGGCCCAGGCCCTGGGAGCCACCTTCCCACTGAAGCTCTGGCCGGTATCGGAGATGGCCTCGGGGGCCATGAACGCCGGGGTGCCGGCCGTGCTGGACAGCTGGGCGTCGTTCCCCTCAAACTGGTTGCTGACGCCGAAGTCGGCGATCTTCACGTGTCCGTCGTCCCCCAGGAGCAAGTTGGACGGCTTGATGTCCCTGTGGACGATCTTCTGGCAGTGCACTGCGGAGAGAGGCAGCTGGAGCGCCGGCCGGGCCCGCGGCCCAGGCCGTGGCCCAAACCCGCCCCCCAGCCAGGGAAGCCTGTCTGAAGCCAGCTGAGAAGGCGCCCACACACACTCCTCTCAGGGGGACCCCAGAAGAGGACTCCAGGGCCCTCTGCTCTGCTCTGCAGAGAAGGCACTGAGGCCGGGTCAGGCGGTCCAGACCCAGGACTGGACTCTTAGGGGCCTTGGGACTCCAAGTCCAGTGCTCTCTCCATGGCGATCAAGGCACCTGTTACTGAGGGGCAGGTCAGAGGAAGTGGGGGGAGGGGAGGCACAGGCCATCCCTGGCTCTCCCAGAGATGACGTGGGTACGGTCTGCAGGCCCAAAGCCTATCAGTCTTCCCCAGTCCCTTCCCCCACCCAGACGGCCAGAGATGCTCCTGCTCCTTGGACCCGGGTGGGATTGCAGGGCAGCCTGCAGAGGCACTGCCTGAGCCCTGTGGACTCTGGGCTGAAGGAGGTCCAGGGAAGGGGGCATCCCAGGCCTTGGGCCTGCAGGATGCACATGGCTGACCGGGTAAAGGTCAGCCTTCGCTAGCGGCTGGGAACTCTTCCTGCTTCTGGGGCTCAGCGCTGCTGGGAAGAGACAGGCGGCTCAGGCGGGGAGAAGGCACTGACCCCGCCCCAGGGCCATGCACTGTAGGCTCCCTCCTCAGCTAACACTTTCCCCTGGACAGACAGACCCAGGATGCTGGGAAGGAGGAAAGATGGAGAGGGAAACAGGGGAGGGGAGGAGGAGGGGAGGAAGGCCGGGGGCCAAGGTAACGAGTGAGTGCGGGTTCTATAACAACACCAATGGTCCTGCAGTGATGGTACCAGATGAGCACAGGGATCTGACACACATCTATCCGTCTCAAAGGCTGTGTGTTTGACCATGGACAGTGTCTCAAATTCTTATCTCAAACCCTGGCCTCCCCGCTGAACGCCAGGCTCTCTGTCCACATGGATTTCCAGTAGACAGCTCAATTTTCTCAAGAAGACGTCTAATACAGAACTCCATTTCTCTGTCAGGAACCCCAGCACTGTCACCGCCAAACAAACAGAACAGAAAACCCCTGCTCCCCCTCTAGTCTTTTCCTTTCTGTTAACAGCATAGGGTCTCTCTCTCTCTCTCAGACCCCACAGCCAACTCATCAGCAAGTCCCACAGACCCAACTCGAAGATCTATCCCAGATCCAGCTGCTCTCACAGCTGCATCACTGAATTTGCTCCATCTGTAAGCATCAGGCTGGACGCTCCCACCAGAGCCTTCCCGGGCTGCCTCAAGTCTGCCTTCGAGGGACCAGAATCGCGAGGCAGTCCTTCATTCGCTTGCCTGTCAGCCCCTGGCGCTCACCCATCCACCCAGGGAGCCCTTCACCTTCATTAGCTGGTATTGATGAGGCTTTGCCCAAAAGTCAGGTGGGATTAGCTCATTTTTGTTTGTTTGTTTGTTTGTTTTGGGGGGAGCTGTTGAGGGGAAAAGAGGGTGGGAGATAGATCCTCAACTGAGAAGAAAGTCCCAGGATAGGAAAGGGGTGGAGGCCAAGCTGGTGCACCCACCAATGACCACACCAGAGTAAAAATGCCCCCTGCCTATACCTCAAGGCCCTTGCTAGGGACTTTCGGCAAAGTTTCCCCACATGTACAAAGAGAATATTAATCTGGGGGCATAAGAGTGGCCCAAATGCGATAAAGACAGTCCTGGTTCCTGTCACCTCTGCTGGGCTCTCATCTCAGGGCTCCTGACAAACCAAGCTAAGATCTTAGAGAGAGGGGCCCCACTCCTGCTCCCCAAACCAGGCCAGAAGCCCAGGTGTCTGGGGGCCCTCCCCAGGACTGGTGCTGGCCACCCCACCTCCTTCCTTCTCCTCCCACTGCCACTGCCCTAATCCAGAACTCACCATCTGTCACTTGGCTGCGGAAACAGCCTCGTCCCTAACCAGCTGGCCGCCTCTCGCCCTTCAGCCAGCCACCCGGCAGCTGCTGGACAGAGCTTTCTAAGGTGTCACCCTATCACGCCTCTCTGCTCCTCAAAGCCTCCGAGCTCACAACACGACAGCATGAAGTCAGGAATGTCCTCTGCGGAGGCATTCCCGGCCCTCAGGCCTCAACCAGACTGAACTTCTTCCCATTCTCCAAGAGTCCACGCCCACCCGCTCTGTGCCTCTGCCCACCCAGTTCTCTCTGCCTGCTATATTTCTCCCACCATCCCGCCAGCCTGGCCAACGAACTCCTACTCATCCTTCAGGACCCTGGTCCCAAGTGGCATCCTCCAGGAAGCCTCCCTCGGCCCTCAGTGCTCTGACAGCCCCGTGCCTCCCCAGCTCTGGCAGGCACTGCACTGTGCCATCTGCCTGCTTAGATTCCTGTCCCTCCTCCTGGGCATGAGATCCTTGTCAACTCCCTGCCCCCAGCTCTCACTCAGTAGGTGCTCATAAGTGAGTGGATAAGTAGGAATAAAGGGACTTAGAGATAGAGGCTAAGATAACATCCTCCCTCCTGAGCTCTTGTCCCTTAGGGCCCCTCACAGTGAACCCCCACTGCCACCACCCACAGGCTCCATGACAGCACAGGCTCCGAGCGGCTGGTCGTGCATCTCCTCCTTCCCACCCCTCCTGAGGCCCTGCAGAGAGGCTGAGCGTGGCTAAGAACTCAGCGGGGGAGAGAGCCAGACAGAACACCCAAGGCGCAGAGTCACTTGATGATCACCAGGCACCAGGAAGGACCCCATTTCCCTACCAGCGGTCAGCAAACTGCGGCCCCTTGAGTGTGGCTCTTCCACAAAATACCACGTGCGGGCGTGCATGTACAGTGCGATTGAAACTTCGTGGCCATATTCAAGGGGCCAAAGAGCCGCATGTGGCTCGAGAGCCGCAGTTTGCCGACCACTGCCCTAGCCTTTTAGGAGGTTTAGGCCTCGCCCCCAGGTCCATGGCCCCATTCCCAACTGAAGCTGATTGGCAGATCAGCACTGACTGACAACGCAGGCTCAGAGCCTTTTCAGCCTGGGCTCCGCCCCCTCCGGTGTCTCCCACCCCTGTCCCCTGCCCCCTGTCCCCATCCCCAGTCCCCCGTCCTAGGCGGGAGGCAGGCGGCCCCTCACTCACAGTACTCAAGGCCCAGGATGATGTCCCTCAGGTAGAGGCGAGCTTGCTCCTCCGGGAAGGGCTTGTCGCAGGGCACCTCCATGACCGGCCTGTGGAGGGAGGGGCGAGGGGTGTTCAGCTGAAGCAGGCTGAGTAGAGGCAGACAGCAGGGGAAGGGGAACCGGGGCGGGGACCTTCAGGCCACTTGAGACCTCCCAGGAGCCCTCTATCCTCAAGTGGGTCCCCAGAACCTAAGATATTAGCTTTTTCCTCCCATATGTGATACAAAAAGACACAAATATCCCTTCAGATCACTGTCATTTCAAATTAGCGTTATCTTAATTTCTGATGGGCGATAATCCTTCTTCGAAGTGCTTTATTACCTATAATCAGACAGTTGTAAAGATGCCACATTGTGCCATCTTTTTCACACTGCAGGTCCAGACCCAATATAGAGCCACGAAATCAATTTAGTGGGGACCACCCCAAGCTGAACCCTGACACTGCTGTTTTCCTAATGAAGTAGAATATATCCGAGTAGATCCTGTGTAATACGGACATGCGCTGTTTAGTAAAACTTTGGTTTCAGCGGAAACCGGTTTGGCTCAGTGGATAGAGCATCGGCCTGCGGACTGAAAGGTCCCAGGTTCGATTCCGGCCAAGGGCATGTACCTGGGTTGCCGGCACATCCCCATTAGGAGATGTGCAGGAGGCGGCTAATAGATGTTTCTCTCTCATCTAACTCTCTATCTCTCTCCCTTCCTCTCTGTAAAAAATCAATAAAATATATTTTAAAAAACAAAACAAAACAAACAAACAAAAAACAAACAAACAAACTTTGGTCTCAGTGACAGATGCAAATGGCAATGTGAACCATGCTGCTCCCTCTGAATGGAGGTCAGAAACATCTGCAAGGCCCTGAGAGAGCAGCTCAGTTGGTTAGAGTGTCGTCCGGATACACCAAGGTTGCAGGTTTGATCCCCGGGCAGGGCACATACGAAAATCAACCAATGAATGCATCAATAAGTGGAACAACAAATCGATGTCTCTCTCTCAAATCAATAAATTACAAAACACACACATTTGAAAGCCCCCGAGTCTGAAACGGACACCATGGCCTGTCTCCTCCCCAGTTGGTCTTTAGGAGCCCCCCAGCAGAGAGACAAGTTATAGCCTGGATTCAAGGCCTCAGCAATTAGGGCTTCCAGTCCACCCAGGCCCATGGCCACTGTTCCGTGTCCGCTGCTTTGCAAACATCCTGAGACGGCCAAAGAAGGCAGACGTGAGTGAGATCCCTGGGTTTCGTCAGTGACTTGCTGTGTGGTGCTGGGCAAGCCACTTACCCGCTCTGAACCTCAGCTTCCCCTCTTGTAAATGGGAGTGAATGGAGTCCCACCCACCCCACTCACAAACTTAACAAGCCGCAGGAACTGTTTGCAATTTGAATACAGGTAAGAGAGGTAAGAGTTGAGTCCCTTCTCTACACTTTTGCTTGAGAAACACTCCGTTCTACTCCTCTTCCATCAAAATCTTCTTTCCAGTTCTTCCAGGCCTGGTTCAGAACCCACCCCTCTTCCAGAGGCCTCCCTGACTACACTACTCCGGCCTCACTGACTTCTTTCAAAGGACTGTCCTCTTGGTCTCTCATCCCCCCCACCTCCGACCCCCCGCCCCCCGCCAGCTCAGAGCTTCCCAAAGCAGGGCCTGGGCCTCTGCCTTCTCCCAGAGCAGCTGAGCCTAGGACTGGGGACACAGGAAGGGAAAGGAAGGCCTGGGTGAGCCTTGACCTGCCTGATTGGAATGGGGAACTCACCCCTTTCTCAGGAGGTCAAACACTGAAAGAAAAGAAAAGAAAAGAAGGTAAGATGCAGCCAGGCTGGCAGAGCAGGTGATGCCAAGGGCCCTCCCTGCTCTGGAGGGTAAAGGAGGGGGCAGGCAACCAGGCATCCTTGAGGGAGGGACAGGACAGGGGTCCCACGGCATCCGAGGAGGTAAATGGGTAAGAGTGGGGTCTACCATGGACCTGCCTCATCTGATACAGCGTGGACCCCTTTCACGGGGCAAGGATGGGGTAACTGAGGCCCAGAAGGGGCAGAAATTTTCCTAACGGTCATAACAGATAGGCAGGTAGGAGAGGGGGTGGAGCCTAAGCCGTGGCCTCTCATTTGTAAGCCAGTGTTCATTCCTTCTGCCCCTTTTCCTGTGGCCTCCAGAGCCCAACCATGAATCAGGCACCGGGAACTTAATTTAACAACAACATTAGCATTCACAGTGAGTATGTCTTCTCGCATGTAATGACTCATTCACTCCTCACATCAACCCCATGTGGCGGACACCATTATTACCCCCATTTGACAGGTGAGGAAACTGAGGCACAGAGCTATCAGACAGGGTCTGGGAACCCACATCAGGGAGCCTGCTTCTTGTGTCTACTCGGCCCATTGTCTCTCTGATCAGCAGAGTGGGCACTTGGAAATATCTGTTAGACTC